AAAAAGGAGTATGATTTCAGAATGTTTTCCTAACCTAGTTGTGCCATTCTCAAGTGAAAACCTCTTAAATTTTAAACTTTTTGAGATTTATATGAAAACAAAACTGGATAGAACAAAACGGTATTTTGCCATATTTCCAATTTATGATTCTATTCATATTTTAAATTATCCAAATGAAAAAGAAGGGAAATGCACTGTTGTCAAACAAAGTCATCACTGTCAAAAACCTATAAAACCAAATGGATTATGCTGGATCGGGCTCCTGAGGGGCATAGTACTGCATAAACTCTTGCAAATGCATGTTTTCTTCTCCCAAGGGTTTTGATTAAATATTTTACAAAATAAAAGTAGACTATAATGAGTATCTAATGGCTTGAGCTACATAGGGTCAAATGAGTACATGCTTTCCCCAAATTAATCTATGTAAATTAAAGATACTCAGCATAGGGATAGTGAAAGTTTTACTTCTTGACCTGGGAAACACATAGTTAATTAGGAGTTCTTACCATAATTATCAAGGTCGCTGGTCCTATAAAACTCCAAATGAAGTAGGTGTCAAGTCGGAGCCAACATCTGCAATGAAACACAGGGGAGAGAAGGCATTCAAGGACTGGATATGGGACATACATCAAGAGTGAGCGAGTGACAGAGAAGAATGTGAGCTGCAAAGCATTCCACTGGGAGACAGGAAATATTACATTGCTTGTTCATTTAAATGCTGAATTATGTGCCCAATTTCTGACAGCACTATTGATGGAGTAAGATAATTACTCCTGGAGGAAGTAGGAAAAAAATGGCACTGGACCTATTTGCTAAGGCCTTTTGTGTCCATCATAGAAACCTTAAAAAAAAAAAAGAAAAAGAAAAAGAAAGAAAAAGCTGTACACATAGCCATTAAATCGAGTAGCTTTAAGCTATCCTTTTCTCTCCATTTATGGTGCTACATAACCTGTCTATCAGCTGTCAGGTAAAGTGACATTTTCCTGACAAGAAGATCTGAGGAAATTCAGTTCAAAGAAGAAATAAATTTGGTATCAGAAGACTGAAGTTTAATTAGGTTGGGCAGCCAACCTTTGAAAGTCTTGAGTCTTAAAATGTGCATTGTTACTGCTAGTGCTTCTGGGTTGCAAATGATCCTTAGCATCCCATGAAGTTGATTCATGACCCAAAAGTAAATTATTAATCACTTAATTTCAGTTACATTTAATACTCCCCCAATTCTTAAAGCCTCTGGGAAATTACATTTTCATTCTTCAGGATGACAGGAAGACAAAATGGAAGTGACTAGTTATGAGAAAGATTAATGTAAATTTTGAACAAATTACATTTGATGTTAAAAATCAAATATTGAATTATTTGCCATTTGGCTATACTTGCAGCATAATTAAAAGAGAAAACATCTCCAGTGGAAAACAGTCAAGACTGGTTTGTTAAGTGATCTAAAACTGCAAATCTAAAGTATGTAAATATTTCTGTGATTATTATGTAACTATTACTTACACCTCAGCAATGACAGAATACCAGAAATAACTTTATAAATGTCAATTAATACAGGAATAAATAAATAAAATGTTTCCTTTTCATCAGACGAAATGTTATAAAATAGTTAAGAAGGAGGAAGTAGATTCTTATACGGCAATAGGATAGATCACAATCACAAAGTCTTGTGAAAAAGTAAAATGACAAAAACTGTACCTATCTTAGAACTACTATATATAGATATATACTATAATACTCGTATTTTGGACAGATACATATGTGTATGTAATTTTTTTAGTGAAATGGAAAATATCATCAAACTCATGTTAGTGACTCCCTCTCATATGAGAGCAGAGAGGACTAGAAGTGGACAAAAGGGGCTTCAGCTATATGTTTTATTTTAATAATTATTGAAAGCAATGTGCAAAAATACTAATAGTTACAATATTTGAGTGATAGAGACAGTGATGTCTATTATGTTTTTTAAATTTTTCTGTAACTTAAGTTTTTAAAAAAGATAAAAAGCTAGATTTTTAGGTAAATAAAACCCCAAACTCCCCCAAATCAATTTCAAAACCAGAAAATCCGCCCTTCTTCTATTAAGTTTAATATATGTAAACTAATTTCAATTGAAGCATAATATTTGTACTCCAATAAGAAACTGGCTACAAGTTTGTATTTTTTACATAGATAATTTCTCTTTATTCAAAATAAACATAATAATTCTATTTAAAAAAATGTTATTAGGAAGCAATCAATACTTAAACTATTAGCCATTAGTTTCTTTGAGTAATTAGTTATTTTTTGGTTGTGCTGTTGTTCAAAAAACTTGGTTATGAAAAATGAGTGTCGTGTTGCCAATAAGCAGATACAAACCAGAGAACATGGACATTCTCTCAGATTGAAGTATGCACAAGTGTACACACACACACACACACACACACACACACAAACACATAGTCCAAGAGTGTTGCTGAAGTTGTAGCATCAAGATATAATATTAAAGATACATTTAACATGACTGTTAATAGTACAGCCCCTGTTCTTTTGTAGCTCAAATTTTTGAGAGCTAGTCTTAGAACCAAAACAAATTTTCAACAAATTCTTTTCAAAGGAAAATGTATTTCAAGAATTTCTGCAAACTTATTCTACAGGCTAAGAACTTCTTATATAAATAACTTTAATTACAATATTACAGAATGTCTTGGATTAAGCAGGGAATTTAAAAATTTTACATAATCTCACCAAATGTGTTGTTAAAATAATATCATTAAATTTTAGTCTTATGAAAGTTTTATACGTTTTGAAAATGGTCTCTGCTTAGCAAATGTTTTATTTGGATAAATGTGCCTTTGGCATAGTGCTCTCTAAATGTGGAAGTGAAATTACTTTAGAAGTTATTATTTCTTATTCTGTAAGAAAATTCTTCAATAGCATTTGGTACAATAGATTTAAATTCCCCGAGGAACTGAACAGTGAAAGAGGCAATATGAAACACTTAGCATGTACTGTGTGAATCATCCCTCTGTGAGAGCTGCCTGGGCTTAACTATCTTCTGGAAGGTAGTGTGGCAAGAATCCCTTTTCTAATTCAATTGCCATATGGCCGCACTTGCTGTTCTTGGCTACCTGCAGGCTTTCTCAAAACTTCCTGTATTTCCTCTGTTTCACATTAACTACCCTAAAAGTTTGTGTGGTTTGTGCCCTGTTTCCTATGCCAATGCTGAAACAATTAATCCTGGTTTTAAGGTGAAGGAGAGTAAGGACATCCCTCAGTATCCATGGGGGATTGGTTCCAGGACCCCCTGAATACTGAAATTCATGGCTGTTCAAGTTCCTTACAGTTGGCCTTCTGTACCCACAGATGCTGAACAGATAGATATGGAGGGCTGACTGTACTGTATGGGTGTTTAGTACATGCCTGGGCACATATATCCCACCTCATACTATTCTATACGTCTAGGATATTCAATGTCACTTGCATACAATGCAAAACCACTGGTTAAGGGGAGACAAATGCTAAAGGAATAGCTTATTGCACTAAGCCCAGTAAAGGCAAACGGTCAGATAGACCTGCCATTGAAAACCATGATTTATCTGAAAACTACCTTTATCCACAAAGTATCATTTAATTTGTGAAATCATTAATTTTAGTAGGCCATTCAGGTTTAATATTTCAGATATGTCAATTCTTTTTTTTAAAAGGAAATTATCACATACATGAAATCTATAAATTATGTTTATAGCAGTACTATAATGACATAACCCACTGTTGACAGATGAAGTGCATTCTGATGACACTACATACATTTTAAAGTCAAGATCGAAAAATCTTACAAGATCAATACATTCTAGAATTCAAAGGAGAATTTGTCACATACTGTAAACCTTGACTTTTTTTCCCATTTACCTATACTAAGATGTCATTAAAATTCTTTTGTAGCAATTTAAAAATATTATATAACCAGCACATATTGCTATATATTTGATAAAGTCTTACTACATTAATTTGTTTATTGGTTTAATACTCTAAAGAACTGATACTAATCCACATGAGTAAATTATTATGTTCTTCCAAAATTATTCTCTTCAAAAATATAAGAAACATCATTGCAAATTAAATAATAAAGGTGCTGACATCTGTATTAGTCTTCCATAAAATTGCCAATTACCAATCCAGCAAGTACTACCTTTAGGTTTACTCAGAAAATAGAAAAATAAAATAATGAAACAAATTAATTTCTCAAAACTACAACAGGACAACAGAAAGCCATACTTTTAAAGCTTATTAGTCTCTTCTACTAAAATACTCCTCACCATTGTACTTATCACCAGTCATTTTAAAAAGGCATGACTCTGTATTTAGAAAAATGGTGAAACCAACTGACCAATGTATATAAATGTCACCTAAAATGTATGTTTTATAATGCTTTTAGATACTAGTAACACTACCAGAGTGCAGTTCCTTATTCAAAGCTAGCATGTTTAATGAAGTGTCATTACAATGCCTTAGGACATTGTAATTTGTTGCCTGTTTAATTCACTCTTATTAAAGTAGACATCTGACTATTAACCAGTTTTTTGAAGTAATGTAAATTAACAATGGTGTTTACTTCATTTTCTACAGTCACAGACTAAACTATCCTTGGTGAATATTAAATGCAACCAGTAAACAATCTTTGGCTACTGTTAAACGATTACATTTACAAGGTTTAATTATATCAGGTTGTTTACGAGAGTTTCTTTTCTCTGTAACATATGCAGATCTCTTTATATTTGTACTATATATATCTGGCAAGATTGAGAGAAGAAGGAATACGGAGAACTGGGGCAAGAAACAGGGAAGAGAAGAGGAAAAAAGACAGATACATACTTCAAGCATAATAACTCTAGTTCTAAGCTTACTGCATGTGTGTTACTTTTTTTTTTTTCAATGTCATTTGCCTCACAGCACACTCATGCACCTAACTTTGCAATACTTTGTGAGCAAGTGCATGAACTGGAAAAGACCAACAGAGCGATGCAGGAATGGAGTATGATCAGTGGTACTCAAGACTAGAACCACTGTTTAGCTACAGTTTTGTATCTCAGAATACAAAACTAGATCTCATGTATCATATATAGTTTATGTTGTCTTTCATGTCCCTGATATGTTTTTTTAAAAAAAGTGTATCTCTATTTATTTAACAAAATGCATCCTATATTTTATGGTGGATGTAAGAAAAGTGCTATCTGTTATAATTTATTAACACTAAATGTTGGAATAATTCTCATGGTCCCATGTTGTTTAAATTAATAGAAGCTAGTAGCATAAGAATTGTAATCACTACTCTTGTAAATGGATGCTTTTAATATAATTTATTTTTATAGTTAAAATAATGTTGTTAGTCATAAAGTTTGTATTCCTTCATTTGTATCAGCTAAATAATAGTCCTAGTAATAATAACAGTATTTCTTATTTGATAAATGCTTATATATGCCTAACACTCTACATACATGCATACTTAAATACACACACACAGTTTCAAATATTGCAATAGTTTTGCAAGATACTTATAACCTCCACATGACAGACTAGAAAGTGAGAGAAACTGA